GAGGATTAGCAATTTGCACGTCTCTAATTAATTAGTCTTTGACATTTTAAATTTTATTACTAAGGTTTTATGCCACATTTTTTCCAGAAGTTTGCAAATCAGTATTTAAATACAGAAAATAAAATGTCATCCTTAATTAGGTGCGCTGGAATGCCCGGCAGTTATTTCCTTTAAGGTTATATTCCCCCAAAGCAGTGCCTGGTGTGGGCCCGATCCTGTCCTCATCCGCAGGATGCTTTAAAGGTCTGACGAAGGGCTCCAGTTTCATACTTAATAAACAGGGGGAAATTTTGTTCTGACCCCCTCTTGCCAACGAATTTGAAAACACATGAATGGAGAAGAATTTTCCTGTATCCAGGCGGAGGAATATTATCTCCGGGTTTATCTGACTGGAGAATGCAACTAGAGCAGCCCAGGACAGCCTTCTCATCCCTTTCCAGCCAGAAGGGAACCCGACGTTGCCCTCTTATTGCCCTACTTCTGGAAAGCAAATTCGTGATAAACGCGAGAATTAAAATAGTCTTTCAGCCTGTTCACTTTGGTGATGTCAAAGGGTCCGACGACAAGCTACTATCAATCTGAATTATACCGTCAATCTAAATGTAATCCGGTAGCACCTTTTGAGCAAATGGTTTTGCATGCGGTGAGGGAATCTCGGCTCTCCTCTCTAAAATAAAATGAAGGCCGGTTAGAAACAACCAAATTTGGGCTGCAGCAGCGGGAGCGGTGCAGCACAACCCGCTCGCAGCAGCGCTCCGCTCACAGGCAGCTGGCGGAGAGCTCTCTGCTAACGCGGTGGTCTGTGTTTCCTAAATAGGACCCACACCACCTTACTGTAACGCTAACATTTGTAACTGTTTTGGTACTAAAAACGCGGTGGTCGAATGTCCAAATTAAATTAAAAGCAAGCAGGGGTAGCAACAGCTAATAGCCATAAACCGCAAAAGCGAATAGCCGCCTAATAAACCCAGAAGAAAAATACATGATACTGATTTCATCAGTCTTCACATCATGAGTCCGACTCTGTGCTGCCGGCCAAGGGAAGCGCAAGATTTAATACTCTTTCGCGGTAACGCTACGCAAGAGAAAAGTCCGTCCGATTTCCCCACCAAACTCCACGAGAACTCACAACCGGGCACTGCCTCACAGCGCGCCCCTGTATTAAAACCCGGCGCCCGAAAAGGCACGGTCCCCGTCCCGCGAAGGCGC